TATTTAAGATGAACTTTGCACTCCAGCCTCCTAATTTTTGTCCTGGAGTAACAATGTGCCTTACAGGTTTCATGTACAATTTAATTTTCAAGTCTGTTTACACTGCTCTTTTGACTGTCATAGCTGAAACTCCTCTCTCACGTGCCAAAGGTCTTATGAATTGAGTTTGATCTTTTCTAATTGATCTCTTTAGCTCTAAGTTGAAATGGTGATCCCTCTTCCTGTTGTGACTTCCTGATCCAGTTTCCAGTTTCCCCTCTACTGATCTCCCTTTTTTAAACTTATTCACTGTTCTCTTGAGGGTACTTGAATGGACTTTCAAGATGGAGCTAGAATATGAATGTTAGTATTACTACTGAAGGTCTGAATGATCTTTTTCCTCTCACCATTGCTCATTTGGGAAAACAGTAGGGCTGACGTAAAACGATTTTAACCTGACCTTTTTCTAGCTGAATAACTCAGTGTTTTTTTCAGTGAATCTTACGACAAATAGTGTCAAGACGTCTAAGCGTCTTATCTGACCGTCCTGGGTATGACGATAAACTCTACCCGCGACCTGGGTAAGACGATAAACTACGTCCAACAGCAAGGTCACTGAACATGTAGTTTTGAAGAGCGTGGAACCACAACTTAATTGCTTGAATACTCAGGTCCACCCGGGGTGGTAGCAGCTGTTAGGATCCCAGCTATGGGGAAATATTTAACCCCCAAACTGGAGTCAAAACACTATGAAAGTGTAAAGATAGGTTTTAATACCAGAAATACTTTGTAAAAAAATTATTACCAGCAATACATTTTGGAAAAAGAAAATTTGGCCAGCAATACATTTTTGAAAAAAAATATTGCCAGAAATAGATTTTTGAACGAAAAAATATCAGAAATAAATTTTTGAAGGAAAAAATATTACCAGAAATTGATGTGCTTTACCGATTTAGCCATAGAGGAGCGTTTCGTTAGCAAGGTCGATTTTACCGTTTTTAAACTACAATTATCCAGTAAAATCGACTTTGCTAATCGAAACGCTTCTCTGTGGCTAAATCAGTGAAGCACGTCAGACTATATGACGGTTCCTTATAGGATACAGGTTCGATTCCTGTCGGAGGACGCATATTTTCTACGAAAATTTCTCGGACATTTAGGTCGGTAAATGTCGTTAATACTGTTTACTATAAACAGAGCATTTACTTAAATATTTGCATGTATAAAAAGAACGTATAAAAATGTCTTAAAATAATTGATGGACTTTGTCCATTTCATAATGTGTGACGTCATATATATATATATACTCGACTCTCCCGTCGAATTCGACGTATGAGGGTCAAGCAGATCAGTTCCTAGGAAACCGGCAGCCCGACAACAGCACATGAGATTTGATTATAGTGATGAAGGTTTCATGAAGGACCATCCACACTTTTTGAAGGGCCGAAAACAAAGACCTGGTACACTACGTGCCACAAGGACTCCAAACGACCCACCGCAGGATTTGAATTCAGAGTTGTCCTTCTCCTAGACCAGTTGCCATCCAAGACTATAGAACTCAGTCTGTCCTGCTATTTACCCATAGCTGGATGGAGAAGAAGAATATATATATATATATATATATATATATATATATATATATATATATAAAGCATGAGTTAAGCAAGTTATTTGATGTTTCTTCCTCATGTTTGTGTTTGTATCACACACCCTAGCCGAGATTAGGCACAAATGATTTTTCTTTGATTTCTTTATTTTTTTACGATATTTAGCAACAAAACAGTTGCAATTTGAAGAGCGTATTAAGTCGAAAAATCAAAGTTATCTCAATTCTCTTGTCTCAAAAGTATTTGATATCGAAAATGTAGATTTAAATAAACATATGTTTAATTTTTCCAAAGTCTCTTTAATGGAAATGGAACGTCTTGTTCTTTTGAGAAGAGTTAGATTTTTTCCATCCCTCCCCTCTAAAGTAAATAAAGAGGAAATTTTTGCTGAGTTTGAACTTTTCTTCTCTCACTTAAATCTACCTATGTGGACCCGCTTTCCCTTTGTAAAACAAGATTATTCGAATTATCTTGTGAATATTAGTTGCTCTCCTGATCGAGATGTTAGCGTGTCAACTTCCAGACTATAAGGTCGTTAAAAACAAGAAGTGATATTTATATCACTAAACCTAATAAAGGCTGCGAGTGGTTGTTGGGAATAGTCAAGACTACATCGATGAAATGGAAGTCAGTTTATATGATTCCTTAAAATTTCTGAAAATTGGCCCTGTTATTTCCTGTGACGATACCAACAAGAGAGAAGCGAGAGTACAGAGATGGTTACTCTTTGTATATAAAATCTCATTTCCAAAATGGAGTATGATCGTATTAGACCTGTAGGATCCCAATGTCCACGTACGTATGACATCCAAATTGCATAAAGACAATTTGCCTCTTTTTCTATTTTTGTCTATTGCAGGTTCCGTCCAACGTCAATTGGGCAAATCGTTGGCTGAATTACTTCAGCCAGTTTTTGATGTTTTCTACTTATTGCGTTTGTGATTCATTTCGGTTTTCTAGTTTCATTAGAGACACTGATTTGTGTTCTGAAAGCAAACTTAAATTACCCTTTGATATTGTCAGTTTGTGCAAAAATGTTCCCGTTCAGGGTGCCTTACAAATTTGCAATGGCGTTCTTTATCGAGGTCATCTGTATCCCGCCTTAATTCCGGAAAGTTTGCTTTTGGATTTTAGGAGGAGTGGAATTGAGCTTTAATAATAACATGCATGCCCAAGTCGATTGGGTTTCAATGGGCAGTCCTCTAGGTCCAGTATTAGCTAACATTTTTGCGGGTTTTTATGAAAGCCTTTTATTTGAAAAACATTGAAAGCCTCACGTGTATCTACGTCATATGGAGTGAAGGCACCTTTTCTGTTTTCGATTCCATCCACGATGCTGAAGATTAATTCCCTTCATCCATACCTTCAATTTACTTTGGAAGCGGAAAATGGTTGTACTTTGCCTTTTTTTGGACGTACTGGTTGAACGTAAAGACGCTTTGTTCAGTATTAGTGTTTATCGGAAGTCTACGTTCGCAGATTCATATACCAACTGGCATTCATTTGTCCCTAAGTCTCGTAATATTAACCTGATTTATACCTTAGTTCATCGCGCGTTGATGATTTGTTCTCCCCTGCAGATTCGGTCAAGAATTGGAGAACATTTATCGTGATTTTCGTGACAATGGTTATCCTATTAATGTCATTAAAATCAGCATTCCGTTGTGATGGTGATTTTTAAAAACCCGCATGAACGCGCTCTGTTATAGTTATTTTGAAATGTTAAAATTATCCTACGGTGCCTTCTTTGATGAATTTCGTCTTAACATCAAGAAACCGATTAAACTGGAAATGATCAATATAAAATAAATGGACACAATATATAAATGAGGATCACATCATTTAATGGATTAACAATATTTTAATGCATACATTATGTTCTACTAGCGAAATGATTTCGCCATTAATCGCATTAATATTGCTGATTGATTCTGTGTATGATTATTTCTTTATATATATATATATATATATATATATATATATATATATATGAAATATATATATATATATATATATAAAAAAAAATATAGTTTTAGGGTGTGCTATATTTATGGGATAAAGTGCTCAATATCAGAGATAGATCGTATGTAAATATAAATAAAAATGTGAACATTGAAGTCAACACTCAGGGGCGACAGGCTGTTTCATGCTAGACGCAGTCGTCAAGCAGCCTGACGATTGCGTTTAGCATGAAACAGTCTGTCGCCAATGTTCATTTATATATATATATATATATATATATATATATATATATATATAGGCTGCATATCTTCATTCAAACATATCACATTAAATAATTTCGTAACCACCAACGGTTCGCGCATGTTTGCAAAATCACTATCACAATATTAAGTTGGTTTTCGCAATTCACCCCTAAGGATGGTCTCGGAAAAGATCGAAAGTACTTGGGTTAAAAAATAATTTAAAAATAGCGCCTTTCTTGATGAATTTCAACATAAAGAAGATATTTAGAGATCTAGAAAGGATTATTATAAAAATAAATAGATATATCTATATTATTTAATGAAACGTCGTATATATATAATATATACATGTATATATATATAATTAATACAAGTAAAAGTAAAAGTAAAAGATTTGTCATTAGCTGACTGATGTTACCTTCAGAATCCCGACTCCAGAGATTCGTATACGGACCCTTTGAAAATCACTCCGTCCACTCGTCAGGGAGTATCAGCAATTAAATTCTTAGCGTTCCCGATTTTTCTTTTTTATATGCACTTTTCATTGGTGCAAGTTTTTTTTCGTATTGTCCTGCTTTTGGGAGAAAAAAAAAACATCATATTTAAACACCGGTTCTCGTACGATCACCGAAGTTAAGCAACTTCAAAGCTGGTTAGTATCTATATATATCTTATACTTAGAACCAAAAAAAAAAGATGATGAGGGAAGATGGCTAGGAAAATTTAACACTCACAGGATATATTAAAGATAAGGAAGACGGAGGAAAGCAGCAAATAACTTACCTTATAAGCTTGTTTATATGGGTGGCAGAACAGGGATTGGGAGACACAGCAAAAAGAGAAAATTTGATAAGCATAACAAAGGACAGGAAGTTGTGGAGAATCATGATCGGCAACGTTCTGAGTGCACACAGTAGTCTCATAATAATTCATACTTATCTTGTGTGTGTTTGTGTGTATTTATTTGTGCGTCTGTACCTACCTTGTACTATGACCCACCAATTTGGCAACCATCTTTTCTTGAGAAATCACCCCCGACCCTACCCTACCCTGCCCTGCCCTGACCCTAAGGACGTCCCTTGTCACAACGATGGTAACAAATTGATAGAAGGGAATTAAATCTATTCGTATTCATTTACTTTCTTTTTTATATCGTTATCTTTTTGTCAGTACATATTCTTCTCGACATTTTTTCTTTAACTGGCTTACTGCCATATTACGTTGAAATATTGATTCCCGTACGACCACCGACGTTAAGCAAAGTCGTGCCTGGTCAGTACCTAGATGGGTAACCGCTTGGGAATACTAGATGCACGGATGGTGTAATGGATAACGGCTCTGGATTTTTTTATCGGTCCCCGTCCCAAATCCAGTTGGCTTCGTTATATTCATTTATATGCAAATACCCTTCTGAAAGATATAAATCCACACCTTCTCTCCCCAGCTATAGGTTAATTAGTAGGTTATGTATCAGTAATTCATTGTTATCTCCAAAAATCTCTTACAATCTAAAATTATTTTCTGGCTTTAAATAACACGTAAAAGGTTGATAAACCGTAAAAAACAAATCACTTCTTCTTTTGCTAACCATTTCTCTAATTATTTTCATTTGGTTTACCTATTTGGGGAGGTGGGATCTTTCCTGCTTCCTAATCTCTTTCATTCTTCATATTAACACTATTTACATTGTTCGAACTGCTGCCCTCATCTTTATTGTCACATTCACGACGTTTCGGTCGTTGTACGCTCTGGCCTTCTTCAGGTTATATACATTATAATTTCGAACCGAGCCGTTTCCAACTTATATCGTCTGAAGAAGATCGGCGCGAACAACGGCCGAAACGTCGCGAATATGCCAATAAAGATGAGGACAGAAGATCGAATAATGTAAATAGTCTAGTTACAATACCTCATCTCAGAAATGTAGACAACTGTTCTTTCTTTCTTTCTTTCTTTCTTTCTTTCTTTCTTTCTTTGTAATCTCTTTCATATGTAAGTTTAGTTCAGGTTACTTCCATTTTAATTTCATTATATCATCATTTTGCCTTTTTTATTTTCTTCCGTTCGTAACATTTTTTTTTACCAATTTTTAAAATTTATTTCACAAATTTCTGATTTGTTTTACTTTCATGCATTTTTGCTTTTGATGTTCCTTTCTTTCTTTCTTTCTTTATTTATTTGGTTTTTGCCTGTTCAATATATTTTTTTTTACTTTCTTTTCTTTTGTGAACTTTCTTTCTTTTATTTTCTATCTTACTCAATACCTTTCATTCTGTCTTATTTTATTTTTTGAAGTTTTTTTCTTTCTTTTTTCTTGGTTTTAATTATTAAACTTTCTTTTCCACGTTCTTTTCTTTAGTGAATTATCATTTCAAAAAAAATCTTTCTTTTCCTTTTTTGAGTATTAAAGTACTTCTGTCGTGTCTATCTTTTTTCTTTCTTTTTCCTTTTTTTCTTTCTTTTTCATTTGTATATTAAAATATTTCCTTTTCACTTTTCATGCACTGTTTAGCATTTTAACTGCCTTTTTTCTTTTCTTTCTTTCTTTCTACATAACCGTATTTCTTTCTTTCTTTTATGTATTGAAATATTTCCTTTTCATTTTTCATGCAATGTTTAGCGTTTTAACTGCCTCTTTTTCTTTCCTGAATTATCATCTTTCTTTCTTTCTTTCTTTCTTTCTTTCTTTCTTTCTTTCTAAAACTTTCATTCTTTCTTGAAAAGGACATAACAGAGAAGATAAATATTTATTCACATATAAAAATTGTTTATTGCAATAAATCAGAACTGACTCTACTCGACATGGTCTATTAATGACTCACCCGCAGTTTAAATTCTTCAATGGCTTTAGTCGTAACCAAAGATTTTTTTGTAATCTAAATTTGATAAAGAACTCTACTAAACACGTACACAAAACAGTTTGTACAGTGACACTTTTATGTCAAACTGAAGCACAACACAAATAAAATTACTTGCACATATATTAAAAAAAAAGTGTATTTGTGCAATTGTGCATTTGGGCAGCAAACCTTCTCAAATGCATGTTTCATTCAAAATGATTGACAAGGTAATTTTGCTGAGGTTTTCTTATTGTATTTTTCTTTTGTGAACTTAGTGTATGTAGAAACTGTCCGAATGATTGTTCATTATACGCGCTTTCTGCTAATCAACCATTTGCAAGGATTTTTCTTAAGCTGTTGCAAATAGTGTGTATATTGCTTATATCTAGACAAGTATTTAATTTCTGAACAGGGCCGCTACATTATGACCGTGTTCATAGTTAATGTGGGGTTAGGTCTTTTTATGATAAGGGCTTCTATTATTTTTACACGTTTTCTACAGTTAGAGGTAATTCTATATGTGGACCGAAAGCACAATTCTAATATATTTTCTTTTTTCTTTTAGAAACAAGAATTTTTGCAAGTCCGAAGTCTGATGTAATCGTAATTCTTTAATGTTTCGTTTTGTATTCATTGAGTTTTCGCTGAATCTTAAGTGTAGTCTTAGCTGGGGATCAAGTGACAACAAAGCTACTTAATATTACCAGCACTTTTCTTTTCAGTATTCTAGGTGATAGCAGCAGCGCTATTGTGAGGAACTTTTTGCCATCAATTTGTCTCCCATCGGCATGGCTGATGCTAACCTCCAGGAAAGTGGTTTGTTGTGCCTCTTCGGACCAACATTCTCAGCCGACATGAAATGGAAAGATTATATTGAATTCATTGCTAAATCCGCTGCTAGGAAAGTTGGTTCATTGTGTCATGCTAGACAATTTTTCTCATACTAATTCTACCATTCGTCCATTCTTTGAATATTACTGCATCATATGGTCGGGTGCTCCTGCTATATATTTAGAGATTCTTGATAAAATCCAAAGAAGAATCAGCTATATTATTGACCCGGATATGGCATCACGGCTTCAGTCATTTTCCCACCGTCGTAAGGTTGCTTCTATGTACCTTTTCTATAAATACTTTCATGGTAATTGTTCGGATGAGCTCTTCGCTATGGTAGCTAAACTTTATCAATTTAAGCGCCTTACTAGACTGGCAACAAGATTTCATCAATTTACAGTTGAATTGGCTAGATATAACCGTAAGTTCTATATTAACAGATTCTTTTCTCGCACTTATCGCTTGTGGAACACTCTTTCGACTCAATGCTTTCCAGCCAACTTTGATCTTCAAAATTTTAAATGCAATGTCAATCGTTATCTTTTTGCTCACTCTTCTATGTATTGCATTAGGTGAAATGATTAAAAAAAATTCTTCCGCGAAATTTCAATTTATCCCGCTCTTGGCCAGGGCCAATTCCAGGCGATGGCTACAATTATCTCCTTCATGTCCCACAAATTTTTTCCCGTTATCTCGCAAGGTCTTCATATTTTTTTTAGCTATCTTGAAAGTCGCCCTATCGAGTGGTATTTAAGCTAACTCCTGCATAGGGTTCTTGATTAACATATAAATAATAAATCAAAATAAAATTAAAATAATAATTGCATTAAAATATAAATAAATATTCAACAACATTTAATCACTTTTGTTTATTAGGCAATAAATTGCATCACTTAGAGTCCTCCATAGTTTACCTTTCGTAAAAAAAGAAAAGCTATAGGAATATTTAAGAGTGTTCTCAAATTTTAAATATGGAAACTTCATACATTCACTCCACTTCGGTGAATAAATTAAAGGTGCAAAATAAATTATATATATATATATATATATATATATATATATATATATATATATATATATATTGTTGTGTCGTGGCACAACAGTAAAATAAGAAAATCAAGTCGAAGTTGGGTTAAGGAACAAGTGTATTTAACATCACAGATACAAAGGTAGGAAACGGGTACTACTCAGTTAGGCAGTGTAGTACTGTCGCTGCTACTCCGGGTAGGTACTACTGACACTATATATATAGTGAGAACCGGTGTAATTCCCTTGTGTTAGAGGCCGGTGTAACATATATATATATATATATATATATATATAATATAATAGTAATAATCTTAATATATTATTTATAATTATCAATATTTGTCTATTTTCTCGCTTGTTAATATGTACACATTATATAGGCGAATCTCACCATAGTCGATTTGTCAGGAAGGAGACTGATGTTATCGACTGGAGCGTGTGGCGCCTTTTGAAACTGCCTGAAAACCATGCCACGAGTTGACCCAAGCTTTATGAGTGAAATTGGGTATACGGTACACTTGGGAGCGGAGGCGTCACAATTCATCGTAGCCGATTGTTGATCATGCTAGATAACACGCTCTTTCCTAGAAACTGTAACTAAGGTCTCCTCAGCATAGGTCCAGTATAAACACGTATGTGCCTGAGCGAATGTCTACAATAGGGATTTGCTAGCCCCCCCCTAGTAGACGGATATCCTCGATTACGAGTGGCCAGCTATATAATATGTAATATTAACATTTTTATTACTTTAAAGTGCTCAGCGACAAACGAAGTTTGTTATGTAACGTTCCCGTTTTTGAAATGTGCGCTTTGTATACATTATGTCCTCTGCATACTGTTTTATTGATGCTATTTAGTCTCTAGTGAATCGATACGGTCTCCTTCTTGGCCTACATACGTGTGATGAATGATGGGCAATGAAGGTGTAGATTGCATAATGTGACAAACGCTTTTTAATGCCCTTAAAAATATGCAAGTTTAATATCACCTGGTTAACACTCCTCCCTGGTTTTTTGAACAGGAGTAGAGGTTTATACCTTATTTTCTGTTTAGGATTGGGTTTCCGGTTCCTTTTGAAGTCTACATCAAGTCCGCTTGAACTGAAATCTTGACTTCTTCAAGTTATCTTTCATGTATAGCCCCAGTAATCTCACTTACCGCCCCTTTTTTACGCTCATATAACGCCACACATTGGGTGAAATGAAAATGTGTATGAAAGATATGGTAATATGTTAGTCCCCCCCCCCAAAAAAAAAGGTTGATATATTTTAATGTATTTCAAGTGCGGACTTTACTGGAATTAAATATTCAGAGGTTTGAATATGAGATGTTTTCAACATTCGAAATAAGATCGCCAGATATTCTGAAATTAAATCCACCTTCCGAAATAAACGGAGATTTTTTAAATGCCATTAAAAAAAAAAAACGAAAAAAAACGAAATAGAAATTGCAAATGAATCAGAATGGGTCGTCCGGAATCGTTACATTCACGCAAGAAACGCGACGAGATGAAAACGCCATCATGTATATATTTGCAGGCAGAGATTGTTGGTTACAAGGAAATGAAGTTGTTTAAATATAGGAAAGTAGACATTAAAAAAGAGATTAA